AAATCCTGTTTTGGCTGTCAGGTTGTGGAAGCTTTGTGGCCCACAGTAAATCAGCACTCAGTACTGGCATGAAATATAAGAGACCTTGAAAAATGTTCAGTTTCTTATTAACGCTTCAGTAAATCCCCAGCTCCAAGATCTGCCTATAGTGGAAAAACACGCTGTATCGCCTGCGTGTGCTGTTGTCATATCACCAATAATGTATATTCATGGTATCGTTTTGTTTAGGCATCAGCCCCTGTCCACTGGCAGTGCAGCTGGCTTTCTCTGATATCGACTCATCCTGGTTCAACGGAGTTGCAGTCACAGAGATTTAATATCTCAAATGGTGCTGAGCTCCTATTGCTACTAATGGATTCTGTATAATGTGGCACTTAAAATGCATGAGCAGGCTCTGATTTATCTGTAATTTGCCTCCACTGGAGCATATCTCCCTCATTTCTTCCATTTGTTTTTGGCTTTGTAGACATACCCTGATTGGGATTTCATATTGTCACATGTTTGACAGTTTGGTTAATTCCAAAAGATAAAATGTTTATTTTTGCTTATTCTGATGCAGTGTTAATTACAAATCAGATGTAATAGCAAGTCAAGCATGTGATCATAGACATTAGATGTGGTTTATTTGAGCTGTTGTGGCAGAAAGACATGCTGACTTGGTCTGAGGCAGATGGGTCTCTCCCAGAGGGGCCATTTTCATTTATTTGGTCTTCGACTACTTTATGTGTCAAACAATAAGCATACTAATTAGATTACGCACAGTGAGGGTATTTGCCGAGGGAGAGTGAAATTTCATCTTCTACTTCTTCTTCATTTATTGTCCCAGTGTTTTCACTCCAGCTGACCACACTGGGGGTCACACAACATGGAGCAGGGAGCCGCTAGCAATTGATCTGATGGGTTTAAATGTCTCCTTGTTGTCATGGTAGCAGAACTGCAGCGGTAGGTTAGGCTCAAGGTTAACGGCCAGTGGATCGGAGTACTGAACCATCAAATGATGGGTCAATACTGCAGGATGGGTCAAATTGAAACTAGCAAATGGAAACATTTCAATCCACAAGACTGTTAGTGACAAAAAGGAGTTTGCAGTCACAAAGCTCTGCAAGGGGAACTTAGTTCATTGTGCAACCTGCAACTCCAAAGCTCCCCAAGATTACTTCTTCCCTTTTACATTTTTGGCATCTCTTACACTAGCATCTCAAGGGCTGTGATACATCCTTCATTGGTTTCATTAATATTATGAAACTGATGAGTCTAAAATGTTTTAATTAATTAAAATTTACATGACAGCTTTTCTTTTCTTTTTTTCACAGACAAAGTAATTTAATTCATTCGTTTATTTTTAAAATACCCACACAATACCCAAAATGTTGCATCTTTAACTTCAAGAATTCCTTCAAACACTGACATGATACAGTGTATCATTTTACATAGGCTTCTTAAAAGTCTGTCAGGGTGACACACAACAATATTGGAAAGTCAGATATCATTAGACTGAACAGTTCCTGTTTAAATAGCTTCTTTGCAAGCTATTTGCAAGAAGACAAGACAAACATTTTTCAAAATTTATGAAGTGGAAATAGTGAAAAACATTCATATGTTTGCACTTGAACACCTACACCTTTGTCCGAAGGTGCAAAATAATGCTGACTACACGTCAAGCATTGGTAATGGTTGCACATACATATATTTCACTATAGTAGATGCAAATGAATACATATCTACTGGATGCGCATCTTTCGGAAATGTGTCCCACCTTCCCGTGGCAGCTCGGTCGGCGGCTGTTCATTTGCATCTCAGTGTGTTTAAGATGATGTCACTGCTCCGTTCTTTCTAACATAAGCCTACTATCTCTTCCACCCTCTGAATTCACAATAAATCTCACCCAGCTGCTGCAGAGGAAAAAACCAAACTAAGCAAAACACTTCATCTAATGAGTTTTGCAGATATGTCGGTTTTTCCACTCCCTTTACTCGTTATTACATCTGCAATAAAAAAAAAAGCACGGTGGTGTTCACTGTGAGAGCAGGCGTGTGTGTTTACTAAACACACATGAACAGACACGCTGAGATGTGACTGCAGTAGGTGAGCTCAGACTAACCCAAAGCAAAGGAGACAGGTAGAAAGGGTGTCTTGTCAGTGCAGCTGGCATTTTGTTCAGCAGGGAGCAATGTAGCCTGTCTACCTGATAGCCCTCTCAGACAGGAGCAAGTCCATTGGGATCCCACAGGACCTCCTACCAGCCACACACCTGACAAGGGGGCTGTCTAAAAACTCTGCAGAGACCCTATTACACATGTCATACTGCTAAGCACTGCGGTGGCCACCAGATGACAAGCTTTCCACACCCTTCCCTTGATTGGGAGTGAAGCACAGAGAGGAGAACAAAAGGCTTTCACTGCACTCATATCTGACCAGTTTCAGTCTCAATGATCAAAATTCAAGCAATGTTTATGAAGCAAAGATTATACAAACGCATTGCTGTTACAACACTGCCATCTTCAGGCAAATTGTTGGTACAACTTTGTATTTATTCAGACAATCTGAGAACGTGCAGGTAGATATAGATAGATATAAATGTAGATAGATAATAGATATGTAATATACAAGAGGTAATTTTTTATTATTATTTACTGTGCAAATTTCAAACTAAAACGTCTCATCAAGAACAAAAGAAGCTGTGACATTTTTTTTAAATAAATGAAATAATTAAGACGAGTCATGTTAAGTGCAGTAACAGGTTTACGGTAATAGCTTTTTCCTTCGCTCATCCAAAACATTGTATGGGTGCAGAGACTCCCACATTCTGTCAGCAGTATGAAGATGATGCTTTCATGTAGAACGAGATAAGCAGCTCAGCTCTTCCTCCTGGCTCGTTTCAATGAGATCAAGAGAAGAAGCTTCCAAATCTTTAATCTTGTGTTCTGGATCCCTACCCTCGGAGCTGGAAAAAAAAAAAGACAATTTAGTGAATTAGGTAGAGTGAAACTGACTTCTAAAGACTTTCAGTTCTGCTCGTGCGGTGAGATCAGATCTTTTTTTTTTTTTACCTATCTGAGTCAGAGTCACAGGAAATTTTGAGGTTATTGTGCAGATCCTCTTCTGAGTGGAATCTCCGGAGGCCGCAGCGCTGTACAGCCTGAACCACAGAGTAGTGCGTCCTTCCAGCAGCGCAGGCCTCTATCATAGGCACGCTAAGCTGTGACTGTAGGAAAAGGTGAAGGCAGCTGTCGGACAGCAGCAGAGGGTTCTGAAGGACTCTGAAAAAAAAAATGGGAAAAATAAACACTTTAAAACTTCTCCTGGTATTACCTTTAGAAAGAGTCAGTCATGTGGTCCTGTGTTTGTACTCCGGTTTTTGTTTGACTAGGTCAAAGTTCATAAATGCATTGATCTTTGAGTTCTCACGTACTGTTCCAAAAATTTCTGGAGCCCTTTCATTCGATCAGTGATCTGCCGAGCGTTATTAAGACTGAAGAAAGGGTTTTTAGGGGGCAGGCCTGGTACATGTACCCTGGAAAATCAACAACAAGAACAACAAAATGTCAGGAACAACTGAGCACACTACTTTAACTATGAGTAAGTAAACTTTAAATTCAAATCTCAGTGGATGAACTTACATTAGCATCGAATTTGCCTGCAGTTTTCGCCTGAGCCATACAAACTCACTGTATCTCCTTCTCACTTGTGAGATCTTCTTGGTGAAGCACACACTGTCGGTCTAAAACAGGACACCCCAGTGTCACACACATATCACAGTAAAGCTATCCTAAATGAAAGAATAAAGATTCGACCAACTGTCTTAAGCATTTTACTTACATGTAAACAAATTTCATAGTCTATGTAGGCATGCCAGAAGTCATTCTTTTGCATCCGTGGGTCCCGTACCCAGACACTGATGACCTGCTGCATGGAGAAGGCAGGACAGAGACTGAAAGACTGAATGGAATGCACTGTGTTGTGAAAAAGGGAAGGATTATATTGACAGATAGAGGAAGTAGAATGACTAACATCACACGAACCAGGATAGGAAAATCCAACAGAGAATGGTTTCATGCTTAGTACAAACACAGTTATTTTCAAAGTTGTGCCACAGTTTAAGGAAAACACAAAAGATCTTTCTTCTTGACAATTAAGAAACTCCGTCACATTCACAACATTAATTCAGACCTACCTGATTCTCCGTGCTGTCGGTTTCCTTTCTCATGATCTAAAAGATTCAATCTCAATAACCGTAAGTCAGATAGATAATGGTGGTCCTTAGCACTGCATTTGTGTCTTTTATTTCCACCTTTACTGTTATGGAGCAAAGGTTTCAAAATAAAGTCACAAGACTGATATAAGCACCTCCCTCTAACTGTCAACTCATCAAAACGGGCATTCCTAAATCGGAAGCACTGTTAGAGAACATGTGTCAGCACAACCAGATCAAAGCTGCTAAAGTTACAGGAAATCCATACTTTGTTAGAAAAAGAGACAACTGCTGTAGGTTTGCTTCTTTCTTTCTTTCTTTTTTTTTTACACCATCACAGTGGATTTTACATGACATGATCAGGATATAATTGAAGTGGAGACTTTTGGCTTTAATTCACAAAGGTTTAACAAAAAAGTTTAGTATTAACTGTTTATAAATTACAGCCATTTTTATACACAGTCTTCCATTTTAAGAGGCTCAAAGGTAACTGCTAGCAGTTTTGTGGCCAGGTGAGACCTGTTCGTTTGTTATTTTTGTGACAAATGAAGTAGACATAAGATCTGGCGTTAATTCAAAATGGTGAAAATGGTTTAGATTTTAAATATAAGGTCCAATGAGATGCCAATCTAAGTGAGGAAGGCCGTCATTAGGCTGAAAATGAAAAATAATCCTCTCATAGAGACAGCAAAAACTTTAAGAGAGGCCAAATCAACAATCCGGTCTGTTCTTAAAAACAATGAGATGCCTGAAAGATCACAGGAGACAATTGAAGTGGATGCTGGTAGCCAAGTACCCAAGGGTACTGCAGAGGCCTGTTTTTAAGTCCATGCCAGAACATTTTCTGTGTCTAACTCCTTTCACTCTCTCCTATCTTTTCTGTTTACTCTCAGTATTGCACTATCTAAAAAAAACAAAGAAAAAAACAGAAGAACATAAAACTAAAATACATGATGACAGAATCGTTTCCATTTGTAAGGAAAAACAACTTTACAGCATCTAACCAAGTCAAGAAGAGGTAAGCATATCATTGACAGGGTCCAGAGTTTAGAAACACCTTCATAAATGTAAATACAGAGAGTTTACAGCACGGTGGAAACCACTGGTTATACTCAAAAACAAGGCGGCCAGATTAGAAAATACCTAAAAGAACCTGCACAGTTCTAGAAAAAGTATCTTTGGACAGATAAACTCAAGATTAACTTGTACCAGAATAATGAGAAGCGAGAAGCATGGAAACAAATCATTATCCAAAGCATACCACATCATCTGTAAAATATGTGGAGGTAATGTTATAGCATGGGCATGTATGGTTGCCAGTGGTAAAGGGTCACTAGTGTTTATTGATAGAAGTGTACAGCACTATACTTTTCACTCAAATGCCACAAACCTGATCACTTTACAGTGCAAACAGATAATGACCCGAAGGACACCACAAAAGCAACTCAACCATTCCTGAAAGCAAAAAACGGGGATATTCTTCATCAACCACGTCAGTCACCTGATCTCCGCCTAACAGCGTGTCTTCCAGTTACTAAAAACAAAACTGAATCCAGAAAAACCCACAAGCTGCACCAGACAGTAACCGTAGCATAGGGCTAGCAGAGCCTCTGAAGCATGGGAAAAAAAGTACGTGGTGGTGTCGATGGGTTCTAAACTTTAGGCATTTATTGACTGCAAAGGCTTTTACTTTCAAGCAATTACAACAATCCATCAATTTAAAATGTTTTAAGTTTGTCCAATTGATTTCAGCCTCTGAAAATGAAGCACTGTGTAAAAAAAAAAAATCACTGCAATTCCTAAAGAGCTGCATTTTTACAGTAAAACTCTTGAATTAAGATTAAAGGTCTGCACTTTAAGCACATCTTAACTGTTAGCTTTAAAATCCACTGTGGTGGTGCACAGAGGAAAAAAGAAAATCACAAAGCTTGTGTTTCTGGACCCAACTCTGTGTAGCCCATTTAGTGCCAGAAATGTCATGTCAAATGAATCATCTCATATTAATGTTGTTTTTTTTTTTTAAATAATTTGGAATTGATCGTTTATTTTAGGAGTAATTGGACCACATAATGTGAGAAATATGATCAAAGTGAATCAAGATGCAAAAAGTGTCAAAAAAGGTTTCATTTATTCACAGACTTCACAGATCCATGGTCAACAGTTACAGTAGTTCTGTAGCAGATGTGTTTTTACGAGGTTTGAAGTTCAGCTGAGTGTCCCATAGCAGTCATGGGAGATATGTCGAGTCAGAACAATGCCACCAGGATACAGATATAAAGTACACAGAACTGTATAATTACAGTCAATGAATGCCCTGTGTAAACTGCACAGTCTCAGATCTAAAGTGCTACATTTAACAATCGTCTTACGCATTTACGGTGCACAAGAGTTCATTTCGATAAGTGTAAATCTTATTAGATTTACTTGAGAAAATTCATGACCTTCTAATTCAACTCAATTTTAGTTATACAGTGCCAAATCACGACGACAGTTGCCTCGAGGCGCTCTTATTCTGAAGAATTCTGCAGGGCTTCACTTTTTGGATCAAAGCACCAAATATTTAAATAAACTGAAACGTTCTAATTCAATAAACAGGAGAAAACAGCTAATTTACAGCAGCTGATTAAAAAAAACAAGGGAATTTTTGATGGGCAACATTTTTTTTAAAATATATATTATTTAACATCAACCACAAGGGTCATAAAGAGATACAGTAAAAGCTGTGTCCATTAACACTTCACAACCTCACACAATACAAGTTCAAACAAGAGGCATTCCAACAACAGGGCTACAATCTTCAGCTCTAGCCAAAAGCTACATAGGCTGAAGGCATGGACTTGGACAGTAGTTTGCTGGCTCTGGCAGTAGAGTGTTGCCGTACAGGATGTAAAGCACACACTAAGCAACCGCAGGGCCCTTCCAGTGTAAGATACTGGCATCTAAACAGGACTATAAATACTATATTACTCATAGAACAATATCTTCAAAACAAAACACAACCACAGTGATCGAGTCCGCTACATGATGACACAGGAAAAAAGCTGCAACGGGTTAGTCTGACCTCAGATCAGCCGCTCTACATAAAGGTTAGCTTGAGCCTCCATCAGAGTGTCTGCAAAGTCAGAGTGACCTTTTTTGAGCACCACAGGGCAGACAGCACTTAAAATCCACCACCGCCGAGGATCTCACACCTGCCAGAGCCCGAAACTTCGCCTGACGCAGGGATGCGATTTTGCGCAGAGTGCTTCCGATGCCAGCTGAAGGAGGACATTTGATGGAGGCTAAAGTTAAGCTTCAGCTGAGAGCACAGCTGTTTATTAGTTCTCCTCTGCACACAACCCACACACATTTTTACTGCTCGTCGTCTCCACAGTGCCAGGTCAGCTTCTGCTCGTAGAAGTCGATGACCACCTGGGGACATCTGGCGCTCGCTTCACGGGCCGGCAGCAGGGCAACGTCATCCGAGTTTTTCCTGTGGGGATACGCGCAGCAGAAGGAAAAAGACTGAAACCGCCTCTCGTTTTTAATGGATGTAAAATGTCTTAACAAAGACAAATATTTCTGACAGTTTTTTTAATGGAGAAGTGAAGGGTAAGGGGACTCTACTCAAAGGGGGCACTAGATTTTAGCTTTTGCTTCCTTTAGCTCATGCTCCATTGTTCCACCAAGTCTGTTAAATTTAGCCAGTAATTTCTCACAGCGTCTTGCTGACAGATCAACAAATGTAATAAAGCATACCAACACTGATTTTCAAGAACAAGGATGATGCGTGCCTAGCTGAAGTAACTACGGAGGGATAAAGCCATGAAAACATGGGACAGAGCTGCAAAAGCTCAGTTAAGAGGAGAGGTGATGATCAGTGGGCAGCAGTATGACTTCATACTGAGAAAGAGCGCTAGAGACACGATGTTTGTGCTAGTTTGCTTAAAGTGTTCATGGAGAAGTGCAGAGAAGGAGTTGCACTGTCTTTGAGGATTTACAGAAAGCATATGACAGTGTACCAGGCAAAGCTGAAATAGGTAGGACATGTGCAGAGGAGGGATAGTTGATACACTGGGCAAAGGATGATGGAGATTGAGCTCCCAAACAGCAGGAAAACATCAAAACTGCAGAGAAGATTACAAGAATGACAGAATGGGATGCAAGGGACAGACTGAGACAAACAAAGGGAATTAAACATTTTCTGACTGGCTATGCTCTTGTGGAGAAGTAAAAAAATAACTTGTTTGCTTAAGGGAGCAATATAGGACTTGGCATCTTATCATCATATCAATGCCGTGCTTCTTTGAATGACGCGGACGTTTGGGTAAGGTCAATAATTTGTGGAATTGTGTGCAAGTGTTTGCTTTCCGTAGACCTCTAAACTTCCAGCCCTAAACATGAGCACATCTTTCACACTCAAAACTTTCAAAAAATTCCAAGTTCTCCAACCTAACAAAAGTCATCGAGTGTTTTAAAAGACTTCAGCCAACTGTTTTACAAACTGTGTTTACAAACTTTACAATCTGATGTAATTCAATATAGCTCCTTTTTCAGAAAGTAACTACAATCGTAGGTAGTGTTGCGGCTCTGCTGGACTCCTGGACACTAACATTTGTGTATGTAAATAAGAAGAGAAAAAAAAAAAGCAAAACGATCTAAGCCGATCACTCGGAGCCTCATAAAGGTAGATCTTTGCAGAGCTGGACTTAATAGTCCAGGTATGCATAGTTAAGAGCCCCCGAGTCTATAGCTTAATGGTTGTGTGTAATGATAAACCCAAAGCCCATCTGCTCTCTCCAATCTGTTACTAATAAGGTTTGAGGTGGTCAGTGTCAACGTCCAACTTCTCCTCTCAAGTAAATGATCAAGCATATATAAAATGTTGGAA